TCACACTACATCGCCATCGAAGTTACCTGTATTTCTTTAACTTCTCTGCGCTGTGATCTCGGTATCTACTGGCTTGAATATATATAATATATAATGGTCCTTAACAGGCCTAGAGGTTTCTGACGACCGTCAGAGCAAGTCCCTGGAGATCTTCACAGCATGTCCTGAGGGAACACCTGAAAGCCTTCAAGGTAAAATTCCTGATATTTGTGAATCTAGGAAAGATTAAGGTTAGAGCGACACAATTGAATTTGCAGGTATGTTTTTAAAATTCCTTCACTGAAACTTATCTGGTATCGAATTGGGACATCAAGAAGTGTGATAACAGGCTCAAAACCAGAGCCTTCTGATGAAAGCAAGTCCACAGAACCTTCACGGAGAAGACCTTCATACCTAGCCCGCTCGGTATTTCAGGGCTCCATCAGAGGTTCTTCATGATAAGTCTAGCAAGAAAATTCCAAGACCATCAGACCTAGTTCAAAGAACCCTTAGGCCAAGTCCTGAAGACTTCCAGGGTTTGTTCGGCCTCCGGAGGACTATTAGATCATGTTCAGTTCCTCCTCGAAATTCATTGAACATCCTTGAAATTGAACTAAACATTATTTAATTTTCTCGAACTCTCCGTAGTTCGCTCAGTATCTCCTGACTTTAATATTTTTTTCCAATATTAGGGACCCCAGAGGTTCTTGGCGACCATCAAACCACGTTCTTGGAAACCTCCACGACATGACCAGAGGACTTCCAGTGTAACACCAGAAAGCCATAAGGTTAAAATTTTCTAACGTGTCAAGAGTTGGTACTTTGCGAAGATTAAGGTCGATGCCACTGAATTTTAAGAACTACTGGACCTTCAGGGCAAGTTGAAACATTTCCAAAACAAGTTCAGAAGACCTTCAGCCCGCATGGTCTCCCAGGGCTACATCAGAGGTTCTTCGGGGAATGTCTAGCGGGGCTGCCGTGCAAATTCAAAGACCGTGTTCGCGCACGAGGCGAACGTTTTGTGTGATTTTCTGGTATTCATTCTTGATGGTGCTGATTAGATTGATCCCCGTTCTCCGCCTCATATTATTTGGCAAGTCCCATCCATTAACCCCGAGCCGACCGCGGGTTATCGGTCACCCCACTAACTTCAACCCTTTTCCACTTCAACACACGCACTACCGAAAGTGAGCATGTTGACGCAAGCTTTGGCTCCTCCCACTAGAAGGATTTCATAGCATAGCACAGCAGCCACGATAGCAGAAGAGGAGAAGAAGAAGAAGAAGAAGAATTTATCATATAAAAGTAGCCACCTTTCGCGCAAAGCGCACACACGTGTACCAACCATTGTATCGAACGGATCATTTAATACAAAATTTAAAGTAAACAAATACGCATTCTCCTTTTCCATGACAAGCCGAAAACAATCAGCCTTTCTCAAGGCTCACAATGGGATAATCCCTGCAAGTCGTGCATATCGTAAACCCCATCCATACTTTTGGTATTCCCCTTGAAGAGGGAATTGGCCGTACAGCTGGGATCCTCCGAGCCGAGGATTTCCCACACCATTTTCAGTGTCCGTGAGCGGACAGACCGTCAGGCAACTTTCAAAGACCTGATGACTTTCAGGATTTGTACAGATGGTTCCTATCAAAGGCAACATAAGAGGTTCTTTAGGGTGATGGTGGACGACCTCCGAGGTGAATTCTAAGAACAATTAGATCAAGTTATGTTCTCGCTCGTAATTCAGTTTTTAAACGCTCTTCGCAATTAATTTAAGATGTTTCAACGCTTCTTACAAAGTACTGCTTCCACTTTGAAGTCTACTGAATGTCTTAAATTTCTCGATGGTGTTCTCTCATCATTCTCCTATATTTGCGAATTTTACGCATCTTAATCAAGAACATGATTCAAAGAGCTTCGGTGACAAGGTCCAGGATAACATCAGAAAGCCTTCAGGGTAAAATTGGGTGCATAGGGAACATTGGGGCTTAGGGAGACGCCACTACATTTTCAGATATGTTTTTGAAATTTCTTCAGCAAATTCCTAAACTAACTGTAGCTATGTATTGAAGAGAGTTGGTTCGAAAGACCTAGGAATAAAATCCATTAAGGTTCCTGATGACCATCAGAGTAGGTTGACAAGGTCAAAAAGCCTTCAGGAGAGAACTAGTGGATCTGCAGGGCACATGTTGTTCATACTTGTTTGTTGTTGTTTTATTTACAATTCCGGCTGAAAAGTTTGTGCAAATTGCGGCCACTGGAACCACCAAGTACGCAAACATAGAACCTTCAGAGTGAACCCGCATGGTCTTTTAGAGGGTTTACGGACAAAAGGTCGGAAGGCCAAAAGCTGATGTAAATATTCTGAAACTGATTTGTCATGACATCTAATTCTTAAAAGTAAAATATGATTTTTTGTCATAGAGGATATTCCGACACCTAGCAAGGTGACATCAGATGAACTCCGAAGGATAATAAGCCCAGTGGGTCATCAAGAAGTTGGTCCAAGGACGACCCACGCAATTTAACCCAGAGGTTCCTGTTCATCATTAGAGCAAGTCCACGACATTTCAAGGACAAATTCAGAGAGCATCCAGTGCAACAACCACATTTCGAAAGCAAGTCCAGAGAACCTTCAGAGCAAGTCTAGGGAACCTTCAGAGCAAGTCCAGAGAACCTTCAGAGCAAGTCCGCATTGTCCTAATAGACCACAGCAGAGGTTTTTGAGGGAAAATCTTAGGTTGCGCGCCCACTGGTGTGGCGGTGATGTTTTGAAATGCTACCAGATAATACACCTCTGCCACTTCAGTGGTCGCCTGACCTTAAGTGGACCTCCAAGGCAACCCCGAAGACTATCATACCAAGTCCAAGGGTATGTTCTGAAGGCTTTTAGTGCCAATTCTCGGGCTTTTCGGGGTATCCTATAGGTCTTTAGGGCAAGTCAGTGGTTTTTATTTTAAGAAAAAGTTTACAGGGTCTTGTTCATGGTATGATCTATTATCTGACATACCATGGTAATTGAGTTTCGTCAGTGTAAGGCTAGAAGATCTTTGGGATCCCCCATAAATTACGTAGTATATTGATGATCAATTTTAGACCTCTTCCTTCTCCCCTCGTAGTGTATTTTACTATAACTAAGGGTCCAGGATTTGTTTGGTCAGTGCATGTGACTTCCGGGGTTTGTTCAGCGAGTTTTAAGAGGACAATTACAAAGCAAATCCCTAATTCAGCCAGGATAGCATCAGTGGTTCTTCAGGGTGATTTTAGAGGTCCTTTAGGGTTAATCGGAAACACAATCAGACCAAGTCCAAGCTTCTAGGGTTAGTCCAGTTTGTTTTCCGTGCTCAATGCTACCGACGCCAGGGAGGCAGCTCCCACACCTGGACCCTACCTATCGAGTCATCAACTCATAAACCGGGGACCAACGGCTTTACTTCCCTTGATCAGAGATGTTATGCCTCAGAACATTCCGGTGGCGCCGACTGGGATTGAACCCAGGCCGCTGGGGTGAGAGGCAATCACGCTTACCACTACAAAACCGGCGCAACTGGTTAGTCCAGTTGGTATTCTGTTCAATTTTAAACAAGGTCATAAGAGCCAAAAGTTTTTTATTCATTATCAAGTTCGTTTATTTGAAAGGCTCAATTACGTTTGCTTTACGGAGCCGATAATTCATAGTTCATTGTTTGTAACAAAATTAACTAATTATGTCTATTAAGAGTTGGGCCGAATAGTCGCGGCTTCCCCGAGTTTAAAGGGGTACATTGTCAAAGGATAGGATCAGGTGGCTGCTTGGTTGAAGGTTTTCGTTGTCTCATCAGAGCGTTGTCGCCAGTATGAACGACAGTCTATTGTTCTATATCATAGATAATTGTTTTCATCAAAATAAATTCTCGGTCAAACGGTAAATTCGATGAAATGGCTCCTATCCGTGCTTCCTTTCGCCGATCGTTCGGATAAACTTCAATCCATTGTCTCTCGCTATCGTTGAACAGGTGACTCTGCCATCTGCCCATCATTTCCGGAGCAAAAGAAGAAGCATGAATGAATCACATGCCATTCAACTTTGCATAAGATGCGCAAGATGATGACACATTCCTCTTCGTCATTTTACTTTCCGATTCATTTTTATTTAAAACAGCGGGAAAGCGTGCAACGGAACAGAGGCGATATGAGCTGTTTATTATTGCCACGAACGACTATCATCGTCGGAGTGGTTGGCTCCGACGTGAATTTGTTTCTTATCAGCTGTTGACGAATGGTCGGAGCCAAAAGCGCGGTCCCCATTCCCATCGACCGAGAACTCGTGATGGCACGACTGGAGACGACGACGATGATGGGAGGAGGCAAAAAGGTTCAGGTCGAAAAGCAAAATATTTGTTATTAAACGCGTGGTACTCGACTATTGTTTTGTTAGGCAACTCTGCCGTATTGAAGGTGCATTTGCAAACACCACCACAATCACCCAAATGTGTGTTCATTACTTCAAGTGCCCGCAAGAAGGAGGCGCCATCGAGTCATAAATATATAAAATTTGCTGATAGTGAACTTTGTTCAGCAAGTTCGCCTCGCCGCCGACTGGTTGGTTGGTTGGTGACAGCTTAGAGCTGAGGGAGCAAGTGATTTATGGCATCCTCCAGGCCCGAAACGGCTGGAGCAAACCAATTCGGAGGAGTTCAGTTGGGTTGTCTCTCAGATAGTAGCAACACTGGCGAGACGAGTCACTTTTGGTCATTGACTTCCAAATGAGGTGCTTGATTGTTTCGGTGAAATGGCTCATTCGATGAAATGGAGCTTAGGACGATTTAATTTTTTCGTACAAGCAGTTACGCTCCAGTGACCTTGGAGTTATCTGATCAATTTGACGTTTTAGATTTGTTTCCTTCGATTCATATTAAGCTTGTATCAAAGAACCTCCAATCGCAATACGAAATTGATTTATTTTCGATGAAACGACCCATCAATATTTATCGTTATCACTTTGTAACCATTTTCCATTCCCTACCGTCTCCTTCCAGGTGTGTGCGGCAGCGTGGACGTCCGGAATTCGCCGGCCCATCTGGACCGGCTCAAGGACTGCGTCGTGGTCGAGGGCTTCGTGCACATCCTCCTCATCGACAAGTACGTTGACTCGAGCTTCGAAAACTATTCCTTCCCCCTGCTGACGGAGATCACCGAGTATCTGCTGCTGTTCCGGGTCAACGGGCTGAAAACGCTGCGCCGGCTCTTTCCGAACCTAGCCGTCATCCGCGGGGATGTCCTCGTCGGTGACTACGCCATGGTGATCTACGAGTTGATGCACATCGAGGTAAGTGGAATCGAGTAGCAAATTTCACGCATCGTCGCAGCCGGAGACAGGGCGTGACTATCGCTGCGCCGATGCTTTGTGAAAACTTTGATTTATTGACTTTGAGATAAATTACCGCCGGAGATACTCCCCGGGATGGGTGTTGAGGTGAGGTGAATCTGATGAATAATGGAGGGGAGTTTTTTTTCTCTCTTTTCTTTGCTGGACACTGAATCTTGCCGTTCTCTAATTGGCGCATGATGGGTATCGTTTTGCGGCGAAACGTCTCGACTAATTGTTCGACGATTTGGCTTAATTGTTTGTGTTTCTTCAGCTGGGTGGATTCAATTTGACTTAGATTAAAGTAATTTGACAAATGGTAACAACTTGACAGTTTCATGGACCATTCGGGAAAATCGACTTGTTCTTCTAGCAATTATCCGATTCGATCCACTGTCCAATGCGATGAAGTGTTCAGTTCAAATCCAATATCCAATTTGGTTAAACTTGGCGTTTGGTAGTGGATCGGTCAATTCTGCTTTTTGAACGTTCTGAATTGATACATATTCGTAATCTTCATTAAAAATGGAATCCAAAATTTCATCAATTTTGGTGCACTGGAACTATTTTAAATATGTGCGATTACAACACCAGATGGTGTGTCAGCGTACAAGCGCATCAAACATTGAACAGGTACCTGTATACGAGCTTTTGCTCTGACTTTGAAAATCAATAACTGAATCCCCCTAATTTTCAATTAATGTTGTACTAAGCACCTACTTAAAAGTTTGATTAGAGAAAAGTCACAGTATTCTATTTTGCATCATTGTACGAACACGCTGTAAAGTACAAAATGATGATGCATGATAGTATTATGTTATGGAGAACAAAAAATTGCTTAAACCCCGTATGATCGTTATACCCCTTCCTCCCCTACTTTGCTGACATATGAATCAACATTTTGCTCATTATTGAAAGTACCGTCTTCTGATAAGGAAAACAACTGCCTGTTGCATTATCATAAAATGCAACCTTCACTCTCTTCTCTGCTTCAGAGACCCAATTTAAAACTAATGATGGAGCTACAGAAAAAAAAAATAACGTATTTTTTGGGAATTGTTTCATGCATGGCGTTTTTGTGTAATATACTGAGGTGCAAATCAACAAAAAATGTGTCACGAAATAGTGTCAGTTCCTATTGTGCTCGAAGTCGATGTCGAAAAAATAATGTAAAAATTTAAATGACTTGCACTCTTGGACATCATGGAAAAATTGAAAAAAATATGTTAAATTTGAAATGGCTTGCGCCCCAGACAAAAACAGTTTCAACGTTTCGGCAATCGTGTCATCGTATGAAGGTCGAATCTGAATTAGATCCAACCGGAAATAAGTTCTACAAAATGCAAATAAAAAGACAAAAATCAGTACTTTCCCACGATTACTTCCTGGGGTCCTCAAATAGCAATCGGTGATATCAACGAATGAACTGAACGAAAATAAACATCACACATTGCGCCTAACATAAAACTGACGACATTGAAAAAAAAAACCGGCTGGCTGTCCTACATCGTTCTTACATTTCGAAGCGGTCTTTCTCCTAGGTGACGAAAATTCAGCTTCCAGGTTAGTTTCTAGTGTCGTGGAAGCCAGCGTCAGTAGTATTCCCTCCTTTTTTTTGTTTCGAAAAAAAAAAATCACTAACAACGCTACTAACTTTTTCTGAAAAAATAATTCTCGGTTACTTTTACGAAGGGACGTATCAGTTTTTGTAAACAATGCATTTGATCATCAATTTGGCGTAACTGGTAGCTCCCAAAGTAACCAAAAGTTCTGATAAAAGGCTATTTGTGGCTTCAGCAGCTTGGTTGAAGGTGGCCTATAGAATTCTAACCAGCCTCATTCGTCGCTATAAGAGCGTTATAAGAGCTTGAAAATTCCGGTACCATAATTGAAACTCTTCAGGGTAACTTGAACGGAACCTTTTTAAATAAAAAAAGGCTTTTTTGTCGCCTACACAAATTTTATATTTAGTTCGTACTTTTATGAAAGTTAATTCTAAAGTCAGGTCTTTATGAAAGTTATTTCTAAACGCAGGAATGAAGTATGTTTTGATTTATCAGCAGACTACTGGAGCTATTTGAAGAATTAAACCCAGTCCTTCTGCGTGAGAGCCCCAAACATGAACCGTTACGTCATCTGAGATATATTAAGAGGCAACTAACCATCACTCAATTTGCTTTTGATAAAAAAAAACTGATTTTTAGGGGCACCCTAATTTAAAGTAGAAACATAATTTTAGCTCAGTCAAATTAAGGGCTACATAAATAGTGTCTTCAGCAAAGTTGCTTGGAATATATTTTTTTCTATAACATTGCTGAAGAATGTAATCACATATAAGATACAATTAAAATGTTCGATTCCTAATTTAAGGACCACCCTAATCGTAATTTTACTAAAAAGAAGGCCAATTTAATTACAAACAAGCGTCTTCTATGAAGACGCTAACCCCCTAAAATGCAAGGTTGCAAAGACTCATTTCAGCTAAAACAATGTTTTTCTAAATTATGAAATAATTAGATGCCATGATCAAATTTTGAATTGGTAGGATACAAGAAGAGGTTGCAAAGAATGTGTTTGACATATTAAACATGTTTATTTCACTTCATGAGAGTCACAATCAGCGATTTTTCACAAACTCACTCACTCACTCACTCACTCACTCAGCGATCAGCAAATCGCTGATTGTGACTCATAGAAAGCAAAATTTACAGGTTTTATGTTTCCAACGCATACTTTGTAACCTCTTCTTGTAAGTTACAAGTAAAACATGCCATCATACCATCTTTTGGTTTTATTATTCCGAAAAACATTATTTTAGCTGAAATGAGTCTTTGCAACCTTGCTAAAATGAATAGAAAAGGAGTACATATTTTTTTCCCGTTTAATTGCCATTTCGGACCACAGTGCACTGTGTTGTATAAAGGTGCCAGTTAAACAATTTTTTATAAATTGTTCAGTTTTTTTTATAAACACAAATCTAAATCAATTGACCATGGCACACTATTCCAATTTTGGATAATGAAAATAGTAGGTCATTCACACTGAACTATAACACCAAATGGATCGTCATTAATACCCATAGTCTCCCTAACTATGCTTGGACGGCTTCTGCTCCTAGAAATATTGCCTCAGTCGTAGTTGATCAAAGTGTTGGCCAAAGAGTCCGAACTTAAGTAAGATTTAAAAAATCGAACATCTGAGCATAATTATGATTGACCACACACGGATGTTTGGAACTGGCAATCAACCTCAATGTGTAAAAACTGGTGATCTCAAACTAGGCAATACCAGCGCCGGCCGCGCCCGAACACAGGTCAAAAATATGGGTAGGAATGTGTGAAGTGACACTCGCTTTGATGGAAGCCGGTAGCACCTCTGCACTTCCACTAGAAATCACTGGGATATTGGGTAAGAGGGTTGAGATTGCAGCAGGGTTCGTTTTGGTAAACGATAAGCTGAATTGATGTGCTAACGCGAAGGAGCTTGGAATTGAACCCACAATCTTCTGCTCACTAAGCAAAAACGTTTACCACTAGGCAAACGAGCTCCTTTTAGATCACCGAGTTGTTGCTATTAACATGCAGTCATATTAACAAATAAAGCAGTTGACGAATCTTGAATGTGGATGGGCCTGAGATCAAACTCATGGTGTTCTGCTCAGTAAGCAAAAACGATCGCTCTAAGGCCACCGAGTCCCTCAAACACACTTAGGCCTTCATTAAGTTCCACTTTTTCCCCGTAACGTGGGTAGATCACCTTTTCGTGGTACGTTACGGGATGTAAGATCTACCACCAATTCCTAGTCCTGACTACTTCAAACTAGGGGAACAGGATTTTTCAGTAATTCAAGGAACACATCTTAGTCCTTGTTACTTTTTATGTCTTGTTGATAGTGACAAGACTCGGCTTTGCCTACCGAGGATGATCTTGAAACAAGGCAAAAAATGAGTTAGTTGTCTTCATCTATGTGATTCCTAATCTTCTCTTCGTTGTTCCCTAGTTTGAAGTGTTTAAGACTAGGGTTCTGATGCATGGTCATTATCGGTGTCATACCTTAATTTTGTTGCTAAGGAATTCAATTTTGACTGACAAAGGGGCGCACCTTTGGAGGGTGTTTCAACACTCCGAAGGGTATAAATAGCGGGACCTTTCAATTAGAGTCGGATCCTTGCGATAAATGCAAGAGTGGCAACTGTAAAAAAATCGAATACTTCATCATTTATCAATAGTGATGGAGTAATACTACATGCACTAAACTAAGGACACGGGATATAAAGGGTGTCCACGATGAAATTGCCACACTATGAAATTGCTCTAACTTTTTAACCGTTGGGTAGAATTTAATGAAAATTTGGGTGGATTTAGTTCATAGTGCATTATTTACATCCTGCAAGTTTTAAAGTCCTGTGATCAAAACTCGCGGAAATGGAGTCGAAAGAACAGCTCGTGCGTGATAAAATCTTGCGCATTCATCACGAGAACAAGGATCTCTCGCATCGTTCCATCGCTAAAACGTTGGGAATCGCGAATTCCACGGTGTCGCGAGTGATTAAGCGGTTCGAGGAACGGTTGACCACCGATCGGAAGCCCAGAAGTGAAGGAAAAAGTATTCCGTACAACACCAAAAATCACAACCGCGTAGTTGGGGCCTTCAACCGAAATCCGAACGCCTCCGTTAGGGATGTGGCTAAGAAGCTGCACCTAAGCCGAAGTTTTGTCCAGAAGGCCAAAACTAAGGCTGGGCTTCGAACGTTCAAGGTACAAAAGGCCCCTAATCGCGACGAGAAGCAGAACAAGTCCGCCAAAACCCGTGCCAGGAAGTTGTACCTCAACATGTTGACGAAAGTTGAATGCTGCATCATGGACGACGAAACATATGTGAAGGCCGACTTCAAACAGATCCCCGGCAACCTGTTTTTCACGGCCAAGGATAAGTTCAGCGTTCCGGAGCATGTCCGCAC